GGGAAAAACAACAAATAACACACAAGGGAATCCTGATAAGGTTAAGAGCTGATCTCTCAGGAGAAACCCTACAAGCCAGAAGGGAGTGGCAGGACATACTGAAAGTCATGAAGGAGAAAATCCTGCAACCTAGACTACTCTACCCAGCAAGGATCTCATTCAGAATTGATGGAGAAATTAAAAACTTTACAGACAAGCAAAAGCTGAGAGAGTTCAGCACCACCAAACCAGCTTTACAACAAATGTTAAAGGAACTTCTCTAGACAAGAAACACAGGAGAAGGAAAAGACCTATAATAACGAACCCAAAACAATTTAGAAAATGGGAATAGGAACATACATATCGATAATTACCTTAAATGTAAATGGACTAAATGCTCCCACCAAAAGACACAGATTGGCTGAATGGGTACAAAAACAACACCCTTATATATGCTGTCTACAAGAGACCCACTTCAGACCTAGAGACACATACAGACTGAAAGCAAGGGGATGGAAAAAGATATTCCATGCAAATGGAAACCAAAACAAATCTGGAGTAGCAATTCTCATATCAGACAAAATAGACTTTAAAATAAAGACTATTAGAAGAGACAAAGAAGGACACTACATAATGATCAAGGGATCGATCCAAGAATATATAACAATTGTAATTATTTATGCACCCAACATAGGAGCACCTCAATACATAAAGCAAATACTAACAACCATAAAAGGTGAAATCGACAGTAACACATTCATAGTAGGGGACTTTAACACCCCACTTTCACCAATGGACAGATCATCCAAAATGAAAATAAATAAGGAAACACAAGCTTTAAATGATATATTAAACAAGATGGACTTAATTGATATTTATAGGACACTCCATCCAAAAACAACAGAATAAACATTTTTCTCAAGTGCTCATGGAACATTCTCCAGGATAGATCATATCTTGGGTCACAAATCAAGCCTTGGTAAATTTAAGAAAATTGAAATTGTATCAAGTATGTTTTCTGACCACAATGCCATGAGACATGAGATATCAATTACAGAAAAAGATCTGTAAAAAATACAAACACATGGAGGCTAAACAATACACTACTTAATAATGAAGTGATCACTCAAGAAATCAAAAAGGAAATAAAAAAATACCTAGAAACAAATGACAATGGAGACACAACGACCCAAAACCTATGGGATGCAGCAAAAGCACTTCTAAGGGGGAAGTTTATAGCAATACAAGCCCACCTTAAGAAGCAGTAAACATCTCAAATAAACAACCTAACCTTGCACCTCAAGCAATTAGAGAAAGAAGAACAAAAAACCCCCAAAGTTAGCAGAAGGAAAGAAATCATAAAAATCAGATCAGAAATAAATGAAAAAGAAATGAAGGAAACAATAGCAAACATCAATAAAACTAAAAGCTGGTTCTTTGAGAAGATAAACAAAATTGATAAACCATTAGCCAGACTCAACAAGAAAAAAAGGGAGAAGACTCAAATCAATAGAATTAGAAATGAAAAAGGAGAAGTAATAACTGACACTGCAGAAATACAAAGCATCATGAGAGATTACTACAAGCAACTCTATGCCAATAAAATGGACAACCTGGAAGAAATGGACAAATTCTTAGAAATGCACAACCTGCCGAGACTGAATCAGGAAGAAATAGAAAATATGAACAGACCAATCACAAGCACTGAAATTGAAACTATGATTAAAAATCTTCCAACAAACAAAAGCCCAGGACCAGAAGGCTTCACAGGCGAATTCTATCAAACATTTAGAGAAGAGCTAACACGTATCCTTCTCAAACTCTTCCAAAATATAGCAGAAGGTGGAACACTCCCAAATTCCTTCTACGAGGCCACCATCACCTTGATACCAAAACCAGACAAGGATGTCACAAAGAAAGAAAACTACAGGCCAATATCACTGATGAACATAGATGCAAAAATCCTCAACAAAATACTAGCAAACAGAATCCAACAGCACATTAAAAGGATCATACACCATGATCAAGTGGGGTTTATTCCAGGAATGCAAGGATGCTTCAATATATGCAAATCTATCAATGTGATAAACCATATTAACAAATTGAAGGAAAAAAAAAACATATGATCATCTCAATAGATGCAGAGAAAGCTTTTGACAAAATTCAGCACCCGTTTATGATAAAAACACTGCACAAAGTAGGCATAGAGGGAACTTTCCTCAACATAATAAAGGCCATATATGACAAGCCCACAGCAAACATCATCCTCAATGGTGAAAAACTGAAAGCATTTCCACTAAGATCAGGAATAAGACAAGGTTGCCCACTCTCACCACTCTTATTCAACATAGTTTTGGAAGTTTTAGCCACAGTAATCAGAGAAGAAAAAGAAATAAAAGGAATCCAAATCAGAAAAGAAGAAGTAAAGCTGTCACTGTTTGCAGATGACATGATACTATACATAGAGAATCCTAAAGATGCTACCAGAAAACTACTAGAGCTAATCAATGAATTTGGTAAAATAGCAGGATACCAAATTAATGCACAGAAATCTCTGGCATTTCTATATACTAATGATGAAAAATCTGAAAGTGAAATCAAGAAAACACTCCCATTTACCATTGCAAGAAAAAGAATAAAATATTTAGGAATAAACCTACCTAAGGAGACAAAAGACCTGTATGCAGAAAATTATAAGACACTGATGAAAGAAATTAAAGATGATACAAATAGATGGAGAGATATACCATGTTCTTGGATTGGAAGAATCAACATTGTGAAAATGACTCTACTACCCAAAGCAATCTATAGATTCAATGCAATCCCTATCAAACTACCACTGGCATTTTTCACAGAACTAGAACAAAAAATTCGCAATTTGTATGGAAACACAAAAGATCCCGAATAGCCAAAGCAATCTTGAGAATGAAAAACGGAGCTGGAGGAATCAGGCTCCCTGACTTCAGACTATACTACAAAGCTACAGTAATCAAGACAGTATGGTACTGACACAAAAACAGAAATATAGATCAATGGAAGAGGATAGAAAGCCCAGAGATAAACCCACGCACATATGGACACTTTATCTTTGATAAAGGTGGCAGGAATGTACAGTGGAGAAAGGACAGCCTCTTCAATAAGTGGTGCTGGGAAAACTGGACAGGTACATGTAAAAGTATGAGATTAGATCACTCCCTAACACCATACACAAAAATAAGCTCAAAATGGATTAAAGACCTAAATGTAAGGCCAGAAACTATCAAACTCTTAGAGGAAAACATAGGCAGAACACTCTATGACATAAATAACAGCAAGATCCTTTCTGACCCACCTCCTAGAGAAATGGAAATAAAAACAAAAATAAACAAATGTTACCTAATGAAACTTCAAAGCTTTTGCACAACAAAGGAAACCATAAACAAGACCAAAGGACAACCCTCAGAATGGGAGAAAATATTTGCAAATGAAGCAACTGACAAAGGATTAATCTCCAAAATTTACAAGCAGCTCATGCAGCTCAATAACAAAGAAAAACAAACAACCCAATCCAAAAATGGGCAGAAGACCTAAATAGACATTTCTCCAAAGAAGATATACAGAGTACCAGCAAACACATGAAAGAATGCTCAACATCATTAATCATTAGAGAAATGCAAATCAAAACTACAATGAGATATCATCTCACACCAGTCAGAATGGCCATCATCAAAAAATCTAGAAACAATAAATGCTGGAGAGGGTGTGGAGAAAAGGGATCACTCTTGCACTGCTAGTGGGAATGTGAATTGGTTCAGCCACTATGGAGAACAGTATGGAGATTCCTTAAAAATCTAGAAATAGAACTACCATATGACCCAGCAATCCCACTACTGGGTATATACCCTTAGAAAACCAAAATTCAAAAAGAGTCATGTACCAAAATGTTCATTGCAGCTCTATTTACAATAGCCCGGAGATGGAAACAACCTAAGTGCCCAATATCAGATGAATGGATAAAGAAGATGTGGCACATATATACAATGGAATATTACTCAGCCATAAAAAGAAACGAAATTGAGCTATTTGTAATGAGGTGGATAGACCTAGAGTCTGTCATACAGAGTGAAGTATGTCAGAAAGAAAAAGACAAATTCCGTATGCTAACACATATATATATAGAAGTTAAGAAAAGAAAAAAAAATGTCATGAAGAACCTAGGGGTAAGACAGGAATAAATATACAGATCTACTGGAGAATGGACTTGAGGATATGGGGAGGGGGAGGGGTGAGCTGTGACAGGGCGAGAGAGAGTCATGCACATATATACACTAACAAACGTAAGGTAGATAGCTAGTAGGAAGCAGCCGCATGGCACAGGGATATTGGCTCGGTGCTTTGTGACCACCTGGAGGGGTGGGATAGGGAGGGTTGGAGGGAGAGAGATGCAAGAGGAAAGAGATATGGGAACATATGTATATGTATAACTGATTCACTTTATTATAAAGCAGAAACTAACACACCATTGTAAAGCAATTATACCCCAATAAAGATGTTTAAAAAAATATATATATATAATATAATTGTAGTATGGAACATGTGGATAGTAAATGTTGTAAAATTTACCAATAATTTGACTAAAATAATCCAAACTCATGATTAATTTATAAGAAATAATTTGAATTTAATTTAATAGACCCACTAAGGACACGTATTGTGGCACTGATTTTGCATGGAATGACCCGAAACAATGCTGAAATGGCAAAAGCGTGTTTTGAAGAAATAAGGGTATTCGTAAGATGAGCCACATCTGGACATTGCATTTCCAGGTTAAAATTTGTTTATTCCTTTTTTGACTGGACATCTGCACTTTGGTATTTGCAAATTTTAAATGAATGTGACACTATCTTTTCAGGAAATGGCTCTTCACCTTAATACCATTATTTTAATTAATTGATGTAAAGTGAAAACAATGTCCGGATATATCCCAAAGACATCGTGAATTACAAATATTTTTGTAAAGAAACAATGAATATATTACTCACCGATAGCCATTGTCAAGGTCAGTACAGGTGGAATTGTTCTTACAGGGATTCTTTTTGCAGTCATTGAATTCTTGTTCACAAAAATATCCTTCCCAACCAGAAAGGCACACGCATTGGTGGTTCTAAGGGAATATGAAAATTATACAACCTTTAGGTCATTTCTTATTACTCTTGGTTATTTTGATCTCTGTCAATTTATGATTTTTTTCAATTTTTATAGAATGTCAATACTTGTCAAAAATTACTTTACCGCAGTTTAAAAACTATGTGAATGGTATTGTTTAGTATCTAATTCAATAAAAGTTAATATTTATGTGTCAAGCTCATAATACAGAGCTATTGATCTTGTTAAATGTTAATATAAAAGTAGTGTATTAGTAATATGAAGACTAGTGATTGTGTAAAACTAAATAACTAAATGTGGTACTTGGCAACTAGCTCATGAGTTAAAAAAATAACTACAACAAAATAAACCTGACAGCTTTGTGATATTACTTACAAATAATTAACTTATGTAAGTGTAGTATTGTTCATTTATTGAAATTGTAAAACTTTGCATATTATTTTTCTGAAGAATCAAATTGGTCTATAATAATATTCAAAATACTGGAAGCAAAATTGCTTTTCCTGATTGGGCAAATAGAAAAACAACCCAAAAGACACCTCAAATTATGGTGGGACAGTAATTTATACATTAAAAATAATTTTGAAGACTAGAGCTCTTTTCAAAAACTTAGAATTTGTGCTCTAAGGTTTAGCAATTCTAGATTTAGAAATACGAAAAATTGTAGCATCAATGTTAGGTGTTATCTTGATCTTCTCTGTTCAGTACCAGTAGCCACTGACCACCTGTGGTTATAGAGCATTGAAATGTGCCTGGTCCCAAATGAGGCTGTAAGTATAAAATACACACTGGATTTGGAAAAGTTAATATTAAAAAAGAATATAAATTATCTCACTAATAATTTTATTACATGTTGTAATGGTAATAATTTGGATATATAGAGTTAAACACACGATTGTATTATTAAAATTAATTTCATCTGTTTCTTTGAACTTTTTTTTAATGTGGCTGCTAGAAAATTTACTGAACACACATAGATTTTGTTACATTTCTAATGGACAGAGCTGTGTCAGGTGATGCCAGCCCAACTTTTCACTTGTGTGTTGGAGTTGAGTCTACGTAGTTCTGTGAACACACAAGAGCAGGAGCTCTCTGAGATGGGAAAACGTGTTCTGGTGTAATACATTCCAGTACCTTGAGAAGGCCTGGCACCAGTGGACGCTTAATACCTGTTGATTGAACAATGGAAACAATGATAGGAAAAATAATGTAAAATATGAAGTTAGTACACAAAACAGACTTCACAAAGATTCTATACCTTTACTATAGGTAGACAGAAAGTTCGTAAAGTTCAAACATTCCAGTCAACTAAATTTTTTCACCAGAGAAACACATACATTCATGCTCAATGTAGATGAATTTAGGTTACAATAATCCAAATGTATGAGTAGCTCCACTGAGGTCCCAGCTTTAGTTTTCAGCTACTTGTGAAAAGCAGAGGGGTGAGAGTGGCCATACCAAGACCAGATTTTACTCCTGAACATGTGTTCATTCTCCACTCAGAGTTCTCACTCTCAGTACTTATGGTCTGCTGGATTTCAGTAGCAATTTTTTCCTGTGTTCTGCCTGTATCATTGTGAATTTCCTCAGAGTTTGGCAGTATTCAGAAAGTTTTCATTGATTGCATTTAGCTTATTTCTTTGTCCTTCTCTTTTGTGTAAGCGTTACAAAGAGGACTTACAAGAAAATTGAAGGTAATGATCATATTTTGTTTAATGCATATGCTATTTGAAATGGAAGCAATTCTATTACAGGCAAGACTAAGCATTTTCTGTAGTGAATGGGGGACCATGACCCAACCTAGTGATAGACAGAAGGGCAGATCAGGATGCAGGATGGATGTCCGTAACCCGTGGACCATGTGAGGTGCCCTTTAGTTATTTCTGGCAATTCACCTTCAAAGGGGTGTCAATTGTTTCTGTTAAGACAAATGCATGAGTATACTGCTCGTTTTTATTTTGACGTATCAGTAGTAATTTGAAACAAATTCAGTGAGTGAGCAAAAAAGCCAAACAAATTTCTTTGCCATTAAAGCCATATATTTCTTATTGGTATTCTTGATGATTTAATAATGAGTAGAAAATTGCCATGCATTTAATGATCTAATTATCACTAAAGTGTCAGGTACCAAAGCAGTGATCTCCAGATATGATGGAGTCTGTATGAAACAGAAACAAAGTGATCAAGGAAATAGACATTTTTCTAATATTAAACATGAAAAAAATATAAATGTTGCAGAGAGCAGAATATTAAGTAGAATTAACCCATAGTTCAACTATTTCTATTCATTTGTTTCTTACTTGATTCAGAAGAATTATTCTGAACTTAGATATTCTTAGTGCAAAGCACTTTCCCAATCATCACTATAAAGTTAATTAATTCCAGTAACTTAAAATAATAAAGCTGACACACTACTTTTAAGCCATATTACCTTGGCATTCCATAATCATATAATAATATTTTGAGTTACTTTTCCTGAGGAGGAAAATGTATTTAAATGTGTTTACTAAAACGAGTAAAAATTTGTATAATTTGTGAGGTTGGTGTCACATTGTTTTTACCTCTTAATGCAAAATAGACATTTGTCTTCCTGCCAAATTCAGATAAAAAGTTTTCATAGTTTGAAAATACATAGTGAGTAGGAGACAGAAAAGACAGAAGATGATAAAAGATGACACAGATCCAACTCAGTGAACTACACAGCCAGTGAGACAGAAGACAAAGTGGTCAAATTTGGTAGGTATAATAACTACATATATAACACACTCTATATAATATTCTGCATGTAACTATGTAGTAGCAGTTTAGTTTTTCAGGCCATGAGCTAGATATTTTAAATCCTTGTGATCAGTGACAAATATACATGTGTAAGAAGGTTAGCATAATTCTGAATATAAATTTTGAAGTCTGAGAGATGACATTTGAACACCAGCTTTGTGGCTTATTAAATATCCATACATGGATGGGGTATTGAATTTCTATTGCTGTGTAGAAAATTACCACAAATTTAGCAGCTTTAAACATAAATTTGCTGTCTCACATTTTCTGTGGTTCTTATGTCCAGACACAGGTGAGTCAAGTCCTTTGCTTAAAGTCTCACCGGGCTAAAACAAGGTATTGACTGGGGTTATGATCTCATCTGAGGCTTGGGGTCCTTTTCCAAACAGTGGCTGTCAGTAAAATTTATTGCATTGTGGCCCTAGGACTTGGGTCTGGTCACTTGCTAGTTGCCAGGCATGGATGGCTCTCAGATCCAGATGGTGTCACATCCTTGGCACATGGCCTTGTCTTCTCAAAGCACAGTGGGGTGGCTTGTTCCTTCAAGGCCAACAGGGGAGCACCTGCTCCTGTGTCTTGTCTCCTTTAAGGACCCATCTAATTAGGTCAGGCACACCCGAGATAATCTTACATTTGATAAATCAAAGTCAGCTGATTAGGGACCTTAGTTACACCTGTAAAATCTCTTTTTCCATATAAAGTAACATAAATGGTAGTACTATCTCACTATTTTCACAGGTCTTACTTATGCTCAAGGAGAGTAGGTTTTACAGGACATGTGCACTAGGAGGTGGAGATCTTGGGGCCATTTTATAATTCTGCCTAACACATCTGCTAACCTACTTAATTTATCTAAGTAAACTATATAAGTTATCTAAGCCTCAGGTGCATTTATACATAAAGTACCAATAATGTCTACTTCATATGCTTATTTTGAGCATTGCATGCCGTAATGATTTGGCTTGGCCTAGTAATGACATGCTTGGCCTAGTGACCAATAATCACCACTAATCAATAGCAACCATTCCTTCCAGGCTTGCCAGACTAGATCTGACAAGGTCAAAGTACAACACACAACAAGTACTGCACTTGAACATAATTATCCATATCGACATTATTTCTTTGTATAGTAAGACCCCTACATACGAATGAGTTCTGTTCTGAGAGTGTGTTCGTTAAGTCCAACAAAGTTAGCCTAGGTACCCAACTAACACAGTCGGCTATATAGTACTGTACTGTAATAAGTTTATAATACCTTTTACACAAATAATACATAAAAAACAAACACAAAAATAAAGAAAACATTTTTAGTCTTGCAGTATGGTACCTTGAAAAGTACAGTAGTACATCACAACAGCTGGCACTTCTTAGCAGTACCAGCTACATCACTGCTGCTTTTACACTTGCTTCTGTACATCCTGGGCTTGAAATAAAGATAGTGTACTACTGTACCCTACACAGTAAAGTATACAGTAAAGTACACAAAAGCACAGCCGATTGTAGAGGATCCACGCACGTGACAAAGTACGTCAGACACATGAACTAACTTACGCAACTGGACATGCAAATGCACGTCCACATCTTTGAAAGTTTGAAACTTGAAGGTTCATATGTAAGGAAATTACTGTATGAACAATTTTCATTATTTTGTTATTTTTATTTTATTATTTAAAATATTTACTTTTCATTATTTCTTTTATGAACAATTTTTCATTACTATTATTTATTATTATTATTTTACATTACTTCTTTGTATGAACGTACTGAAGGATAAAGATTATCAGACTAGGAAAACAAAGATGAAAGAGGAGGAGAGAGAGAATTCAGCAATGTATCGATTACAAACACAAACTTAAACAATATGGACAAATTTCAGATAATAAATTAGGAAAATTGATCAAGAAATAGTGGAAAATCTTACTAAATAAGTAAACATTTTTAAATGCACCAAAAAGGGAGATTGACAGTATGCTTACAAAGACAAATAAAATTGCTTCCAAATCTTTAATTCTTCTCTTATGTCATATAGATGCAGAAAACAGAAAAGCAGGGGAACTACCCAACTTAAATTTTGAGACTAATAAAGTCTAGATACCAAAATCTGGCAAGCATATAACAAGAAATGCAAACTCAGTCAATCTTATGTGATCAAAAAAAGTAAAATTGAAAAAAATAATTTTAAGTAATTGAATCTAAGAGTGTCTTCAAGATTTGTTCTATTATGAGCAGGTAATTTGTTTTTGTCTTACAGAAATAAAAGTATGCTTCAATAGAAGAAACTCTATTAAAGAAGGAAAAAATGGTTTGACCATCTCAGATTCAGAAAAAAACATTATATAATTCAACACACATTCATAAAAATTCTCTTATCAAATGAGAACTTTTCAAGAATGTCCTTATATTAATAAAAGCTATTTACCAAACAAACAAGCAAACAACAACAAAAAATCCTGCCAAACCTCATTTTGCCAAAAACAACTAGAGAAACTGAGTAAAATACATAGAACAATGATTGAATTCTGAAAAGAACAACCAAAACAGATTGCATCTCATAAATTCTGGAGAGAAGGGAAGCAAACTAAAGTAAGATCACTCTTGCCCTTGATTTTAATGCCAGGACATTTGCTTTCTTAAATTCAGGTAAATAGAAGCAGCTGGAGCTTGCAACAATTTTCCTGGAATGAATATATATATATATATATATATATGTATGTATTCAACTCTGTTGAGGAGAGAGGTCCATGAAGAAAAGAACAAACAAATGATCCCAAATGTTGAGGAGCAATCATTTGGAGACATTTGTTGCCTAGCGTGAAACTACCCAATGTAAGCAGAAAGCAGCTAAAGTGAATAGCAAAGATTCAGTAGTCTTGTGTTCCAGGAAAGGTCGAAGTTGGAGTTTAGGGCCTGTAAGATGCAATGGTCCTGCGAAACACTTTTTGCTTTCATGGAAACCCCAAGGTCTAGAAGTAAAACAAACCAGCCAAACTCCCAGCCCAGATCATGCTAAAACCCCACTCTACATTTTAGTTGAGGTCATCGATCTGTGTTCTGTTGTCCTGCCAGAGAAATGAAGTGCTCTTTGGAGGAAGTTAACATTAGAGGAAATTTTTCAATATTTGATAACAAAATGTCTGGTATTCAATAAAAAATTAAAGAATGTTGATGACCAAAATTCAAGAGAAAATCAGAAAGTAGGAACAGATTATTCAGAGTAAATGACTATAATTAATATATGTGAGAATATAGAAGACAAAATAGATAATTTCACTAGAAACCTGCTATAAAAAAGTCAAAAAAAAATACTGTGATTTGGAAATAATAATAATTGAAATTTAATCATTTATTCCATTATTTTAATAAAATCTTAGCAGAGGATTAGTAGTAAGTA